GTCAAGATTATTTTTTGTGTAGTCATATCTGATTGTGTACAATAGGATTTTGAGCAAAATTTTTACCATTAAATTATGCAAAAGGTGTCAGACGCAAAACATTTCAGAAACCGTATGTATCAAATATGATACATTTGGCATTATAGGGTTAAAACCTACCCCTACCTCCCTTCCTCATGTCTTTGCTTTTTTTGTTCTTCCTGCAGGCTTTTCTTCCTTCAGTACGATCCTCTCTCACTTTATTCCATCTATCCTAACTCCTTTTCTCCTGTCTTCCTGTCTTCATGCCCTTTCTTTTCCATCATGTCCTCCTTCCCTTCATGCATTTCCTTCATCCGTTGTCTCATACACTGTATTTTTCCATTTGTTCACTTGTCTTCCATGACTCCCTCTTTCCTTGTTTCCTTGTGTCCTTCCTTTCTTTTCCATCTTGGTTCCTTCCTTTCCTCCAACAGATTATAAACTGCTGTCTATCAGTTAGTAGCGCACTGACATTGCAGCATCAAAGTTCTGGGTTCAAATCCGGCTCTCAGGTTGATTCTGATACCAATCGTCTTAGGGGGCAAATGTTTGCAGCCAATATTGCCTCTCTTCCTCCATTTAAATGATTAAAAATGACACAAGGATAAAAAAAATGTCATGCACTTCTGAATGTCCACTAAAAAGATATTAACAAATTATGCATGCTCTGCATGTGATCTCAATGCTCGCTGCTGAATAACTACAGAATCAGTGAATCATGGTTTGTTTGTCCTGTTTGTGTCTGTTTATTTCGTTTGAATTAGTGGGTGTAATTAACAGATGGATATTTGTATTTTTTTTCTGTTTAATATTTTATAAAGACAATAAAAAAAATGTCTGTCTTAAATGATGAAGTCTAGCATTTCCCTATGAAGAGTCATCTGTTTTGTTAATCTGGGTTAGCCTGTAATTTAAACCTTTTTTTCTTAAATGCCATAAAAAAACACCTTAAAATCTTTTTAAATTGTTGATAACTTTAAAAAGAAAACTTAAAGCATGACACAAGTGTTAAGATTAAACTGAATGTTTAATCTAAATTACATTTTTTGGAGTAGTTTTACATTCAGGTTCATTTGGAGTGTTTATTTTAGAAAATCAACCCTACTACAAAAATAACACCTAAACTATAGTGAAACACGGTGGAAGTTGCCCATGATGTGGGGCTGGCTGCCTTTACCTGTGAACGTTTCACTAAATAAATCAGCTTTAAATGTCAGTTTAAATAACAGTTGAAAGGAAATATGTCTGTGTCTCTATTTTAGTAACTTTTAGATTTTTTCCATACTTTGATTTACACCCAGTAATTATTTTTGCCCTTTTTGAATTTCTTCTCACTCTTCCTCCTGCCTCAGCTAATCCAGCTGAAGCGAAAACTGTTCCCCAGACGCAAAGTCAATAAGGACAGCAACCCAGAGCGAGTATAAAAGAGGAAAAACTGTCTTTTCTGGAAGTCGTCCTTCAATCCTTCTCTCTTCCTCCTCTGGAGAGGACAAGAATGGACCCACACATGGACATAATCAGTCTGGACTGCACAGTTTAGACATCTGGAGACTTGAATGATGGACGTGGACGGCAGCAGAAAGTTACTACAGCCAGAAGAAAATAATCAATTAAAGAAAAGTGCTGGAAATTGAATTTTCCTTCACTAAGGGATTAGAAGAGGAAAAACACTCCTGGCATCACATCGACCCTGAAGAATGTACTGTTAGGTTGTGTTATAATAAGACACTCAGAGCGCATCTGTATTTTATAACGGTACGAACTTCTTAAATGTTTGTTGTATTTTTTTTTTGTAAGTTAATTATATTTTTGTGTTTAAAAAGATGTCAGCTTTCCTGCCAGGAACGGGAAAGGAAAATCTTACATGTTGAAAGAAAGAACTGGTTTTACAGAGTTTAAGGAGAGATGTTAAACGTTCCTTTTGTCGTCTTGAAAAAACAAAAACAAAGTGCCTTTGTTGCTTATTTCTGCCAGAGTTGAACATTTTTTTGGACTCACCGGACCTGGATCCATATGGATACTGTGTGCGGTCGTAATGTGTGAAAACTCCACAGCTTCACAGGCTCCTGCAGGTGTGTCTCTGTGGGACTCTGCAGGCTCGCTGCTGTCTGACATTCAGACCCCCTCAGCATGTTTCTAACTTATTCTTGCTGTTATTGTGACTCATCTGTCGGTTGGTAATGTCTTCTAAGTCGTTCAGCATCTGTTCCAACTCTCTGATGGTTCATTTGAGCAGCAGTCTGGATTACAGAACCTGTAACATGCAGATTGTCTCAGTTTCCTGACTAACCTCTGAAACGTAATTCATCCCCAAACCTTCACCATACTCCCACCTCCATGCTTCACAGCTCATTTGGGGTGACTTGTGAATCTGGAATGCTTTTTGATTTATGCCAAGTATTTCCCTCTCTTCCAGGGACCAATTTCCTCAGTGTTACTCATTTCCCCAGAGTATTTTTTCCCCCTAAAGGTTGAAAAGCTAAATGTATCATGGTTTTATCAAATTCTCCATAGGTTCAAAGCCTGAAGGTTTATTTTTCATCCGTTTTTTTTAGACTCTTAAGAACAATATTCGGGAACAGGACTGCTCCTCCCCTTCAGTCAGTGTTTTGTCAAATTTAAATAAATTTTTATCAGTTCAGTCATCGTAATGTTTCATTTGGGCCTTCTTTAAGATTTTATTGAAGGAAAAACCTACATCAATCTTATAAATTGTTTCATAAATTATTTATAAAACAAAAGATTTTAATTCTTGGAGTTTTTAAGGATATTTGATCAAATTCATTTAATCATCGTTAGCATAAATGTTACATACATTTTCGCAGATTTTTTTTTCTTTGATTAAATCTTTATTAAAATATAAGTCGTGATTTACACATTAAGCCGACTGATTTTAGATTTAACTAAATTACAGAAGGTCAACGTTCTTCGTCTGGGCTCTAATATGCACAACTGCTACCATTAATGTTTGGCTAAAGTAACATTACACCATTATTCTGGATATTTATCAGCTCTTATGAGAAATGGAGAAGTTAATTTAATTAGTTTGGTTCTGCAGCTCAGACGTTTCTTTGAAATTTGTCCATAAACCTTCCATTACAGCTGATTCCAGAGGCTTCTAGATGTTCTGTCTTTAGATTTAGAATCAACTTTATTTATCCCTTCGGATTACTCATTCAGGGACATTTCCTGTACTTTATATAGAGTGCAAAGAGTTAAAGCAAGATGCAATTAAAAATACAACAGACAATCTAAAACTACTATATATAGTACAAAAAAAAAGCATAAAATACTTTAGTTTCAACCATCTGCCTGCTGATCTGCTGTGAAGTTATGCTTTATTTCTTCAGCTGCTCTGTATAATGCACTAGTACCACACAACGAACCCTTGGCATGAAGCTGCCTCCTCCGTGCTCATCTCTTCCTTATATCCATCCATTTTCACTCTCTTAGTCCTTGTCAGGGTTGCAGTGGGGCCAGCGCGTATCTCCGGAAGTCCACCCTGGAAAGGTCGCCCGTCGGTCACAGGGCAACACAGGGACAGACAGCCATGCACACACACACATTTACACCTAAGGACAGTTTAGAGAAGCCAATTAACCTAACAGACGTATTTTTGGACGGTGGGATGCAGCTGGAGTACCTGGAGAGAACCCACACATGCACAGGGAGATCATGCAGACTCCATGTAGAAATACACTGGGCTGGGATTCGAACCCAGAACCTTCTTGCTGCAAGGCAACAGTGCTACACACTGGGGCACCATGCTATTCATTATATACTATTCCTCATTTTGGCAACAACTCAATACTTTTTAATTAGGGATGCACGATACTGGGATTTTGGCCGATATGCCGATATTTTAAAACTCATGTAGCCGATAACCGATATCGATACTGATGTTAAAGCTGGACAAAAATAAGTAGTCATTGAAAATAGCAGTTTTGTTATCCATTTCTGACACTTTGAAAAATAATATACTCAAATA